TGTTCCGTATATACCTTCTCCAGATGAAGAAAAGCGTTTGTGATATCAAGTTGATGCAAAGGCCATTTATGAGTAGCTGCCATCGAGATAAACAATATAACACATGCCATTTTGCAACAAGAGAAAAAGTATCAGAATGGTTCACTCTATGGGTTTGAGCATAGATCTTAGCGACAAGGCGGGATTTTGATACCTATTTGCATCTCATGGCTTGTTTCCCTGAAGGCAAATCCACCAAGTCCCAAGTACCATTGTCAACTAAAGAATTCATCTCGTCTATTATGGCATTATGCCAACCAAGATGAGACATAGCCTCAGTGAAAGTTTTAAGAATAGAGACGAATTCAAGGGAATCAATAAAAGAAGAAGAAGAAGAAGAAGAAGAAGAAGAATGTGACAAGTTACATGAAACAAAAGAAAAATTAGGATAAATACACAAATGCTTACCTCCACATAATGCAAGAGGAACATCCTCATTCGGGACTAGATCTGATGACGGGGAGCAGATGCATGACGAGAATTGGGATATGGATGTCCGGAGAGACTTGGGTAATAAGAGGCTTGGAAGGAGTGGGTTCCAACACAAATTTGAAAGATGTGATAGAATAGACCAACAAATCATCAACCTCCTCATGACTAGCATGAGTAGATGAGTACAAAAAGTAAGGTGTTTTTCATGAAGATAGCATCAATCGAAATAAGGTACTTGTTAAGACTAAAACAATAACATTTGTTACCTTTCTAAACATGAGAGTAACCAAGGAAAACACTTCAAAGACTTGGGATCTAATTTACATAGATGTGGACAAACATCTCGACTGAAACAAATTCTACACAGATCCAATTATTGGAGAAAATAATTTTGTAAGGGGTCTTGCTATGAGGAACAAATGATTGCATACTAGTTACTCACAAAGCATGATGTTAAATTTTTTTGGCTCGGAAGGGTTCAAGAACATGCATTTGAATTAAGAGGGTCTTTCCAGTTTCATTAAGATGCTTGTTTTTTACGTTCTGTTACACCGTCCATGCAGGGCCTTGCAGTTTCTAAGGTAATCTAATTTTCTATTATAGATAGTGAGAAGAGTTGTACATATATACACACAACTTCGGAAACCGTATTAAGAAACTATAAAAACAATAACCGGAAAGATCAACCCTAGTTATCTAATTTCAGCTAACAATGACAACCGATATTAGCATCAAGGCCTGGTTTCAATTCAGAAGCTTAACCTACTTCAATCATTTTTGAGAGACTAAAACCCAAATTTTTTCTTGATAACAAATTTGCAACAAATATAGCTAAATCATTCGCAGAACCATATGTTGTGTTGGTCTCAACCATTGGCTTTGTAGATAAGACAACTAGCATCCGATTTAACACTTAGAAATTCATATCCAATAACAACATCATCGGACATGACAAGAAAGAATTAACATCCGAACCTTAGAAATTTGTTAGGTTTCAAGGCTTCGGATCTTAGTCAACATCGGATCTATAACTCGGATAAAATGTGAGATCACATCTTTGCTTTGATCATTCTCCATCCGAATTGGAGAACCGGTTTCACTTATCCTTCTAGTCATTCCATCTTGATTTTCGAGAACCCACATTTTATTCTAAGTTAGTTTAAGAATATTCTTACTTCATAACCATTCTATAGCTAGAATAAGATATATAGCTTATATTTCGGAATAGAAAAGATAGGATTTTTCTTTGTAGAAGTCTTGTAATTATCTGTATTGATCCAAGAGCAAAAAGCGTTCAGCGAAATCGAAGAATAGTTGAAGTGAGACCAAGATCGTCATCAAAGCAGATTGGTTTGTCATCTAGCCAAAAGAAGATTAATACAAGATAAAGTCAGATAGTAATCTGACAAATACTACTACTAGCAAGCCAGATTTTGGAGTGCAAACTTGTCCAGGAAGTTTGGCTCACCAACTCCTCCTACAATCCACGTGGTATGGGAACATGAGCATGTCAGTCAAAGTAAATTATAAAGCATTATTTTACTAGTGTCATACTTCATTTGTCCCTTGGCATACAAAAGGATGGGATACGATAACAAGTGTCTACATCAACCACAAAATCCGAAATGAAAAGTACAACCATGCATAGATCAGCAAATCAGATGAACACATGCGTTAAAGTTGGATAGTAGCATTTAATGCAATGGTAGCTATAAAAGGGCACCCTTGTCATACATTGCTACTCATCCGTTTTGATGGAACTTCTATGTGATAGTTTCTTAGGCAAAATCGGCATCAACATCTGAAGAACCGTCTTAGTCCTTCTCTAAAAGAATACCTTCTTCTCTCACTCTTCCAGTGTTTGCAAAATTTGTAACCAGTCAAATTGTTTTGGATCACAAGTTTACCTTCCTAGCTTCCACAACAAATCCATAATTCTTTGTTTTAGTATAAAATACAGGATTAAAAGTGAAAATTTGTTGGGTTTATATTCAATCCCCTTCTACAAACACATTCTGTGTAAGTCATTATATCCCAGGACCAACATGGTGGTCATCTATTCTAGCTGCAATATGATAGGTAAGTAAAAATTATATAATGTTGAATAGGATGGAAGCAGCATGGTTACTTGTCGAATCTTTTAAACACGTAAAAACAACATGTTGCATAGGAAGGAAGCAACATTAGATCCTGATTCCTCTTTTTATTGCTTCATATTTGATGCTAAAAGTTTTTACTTGAACTAATCTTGATAACCCCATTTGGACCAGATGGTGTTGCATACCAAAAAGATTTCAAGGTTTTAATGTCAAATCTCAACTTTTATTTTTCTAGAAACAAGATTAACTTCATCAACCAGAATAAGTACTCTAAGATTGATATCATCAAACCTAATAAAGCTTCTGCTAATTTTTTGATCCATAGAACAGTGTATTCTTCACTACTACTAGCTGCATCTAATCCAATCTCCGTACAAAATGTCATTATTGACATGGAAATCTTAGGCATCTACCTCTCCTAATGATCTCCTCTTACAAGAAGATTTTTCTACCTGATGCACTCAATGGCTGTTGTTGAAGATAACCAAACTATCTTAGACGATGTTACCCCAGTCCTCAACCAATGCCATCCCTACCCTTTCTCCATTTCATCATCGCCAATTCTATCCCTCAATATCTGTTGAATAACATTCTGTCCCTACGTGATGGCAGGTCCAACTGTCACCCTATATAAGTTATCTATCTGCCTCAATCTTTCGATTGACTGAAATCCCTATATCTTCATCCTATCCTGATCCAAATAACAGAATATATCCTTCCATATTACATCCTGTATCTGATACAGAAAGATCATTTTTGCTGATGGATTAGGTCACTAGTTATGGCCATTTATCTTAAAATTTTGTTCTGTTTGTAGGCAAGGCTAAATAGTCAGAAAGATAATCAACGTTCTTTATTCTTTCCTCATAAATCAAGGAATAGTTAGATATTGGGGGTCAAAACCCACCATAGAATCCTGTTCAACAAGTGAAATGCATTAGCTATCTGATGTCAGGTTGGCTGTAAGGGTCGGAGTAGGGCAATCACTCATACTTAAAACCAGTGTTCTTAAGGCCAAAGAGTCGGAAGAAAAGGAGGGAAATCTCTCCGTTCTTGGTTCTCCTGTAGTTGGATCCTCCGGAACCACAAGAATCTTTAATGAGGATTAGAATCGGATTCCAACTCAACACCTTTTGAGCGAGAGATTTTGACAAGAGTTGCTCTTTGGAGAGCACAATACAATGAAAGTTGTAAGCATAAAAAGACTAACAAAACAAGGGGCACCTAATATATACAAAGAATAATCCCAATAGAGCTGCAAGGGACTATGGTGTCCTCGAAAAAAAATGGACAAAATTACAAAATGCAAACATGCTTCAACCAATGCAAAAGAAAAACTCTTTTAGAAATTCAAGCATTCATAAATATTGGTTGAATTAACACCCTAAGGGCGTTTAATTCACAGAATGGAATTTGGTGGAATTGGAATCCATCGATGGAATTTGACTTTGAAGGAATTCAAATGAAATATGATGGAATTTCGCCTTCCAAAAGAATTGGAATTTGCATGTGATGGGGGTGAGGTGGCAGGGATGGCGGTTGTGACAACGACCACATCGACGTGGTGATATCGGGGTTAGGGTGATTGGGGTGGGGGTGGGTAGCAGTTGTGACGACTATAGTAGGGTGGTGGTAAGTGAGTGGTGGTGGGTGGGTGGAGGTGGGGTGGGTGGCGGTGTGATGGTGATAGTAGTAGTGTGGGGGTTGTGGCGGTGGTGGAGAATAGAGGTGGGGGTGGGTGGCGGCTGTGACGGCAAAGAGTGACCTGGTCGTGACGATGGCGGTGGGATGTGTGGGTGGCGGTTATGGCAAAGACGTGTAGTGGCAGCAATGAAGGTTGGTTGTCGTGGGTAGGTAGGGGTGGGGCGGGCGGTGACAATGGAGGGTTGGGTGGGGGTGGGGGTGGTAGAATGATAATATTAATTAGTGGCGGGGGTGGTTGCAACGGCTGCAATGGTGGTGGTGGCGGAGATGTTGGTGGCAGGAGTGGTGGAGCGGCAGGGGGTTGGTGAGGGTGGGGTTGGTGAGGGTGGGGCCTGGGGATAGTGGTTAAATTGGATGTAAATGTTATTTTCTTCCTTTTGAAACCAAATTATATAATTTGTTACATTTGCCACTAAATGCAATTCAAATCCTTCGGTTATGCCTAGGAAAGATCAAATCCCTCAAGCATGGAATTCAGCGGAATCCATCCAATTCAATCCACGAACAAAACATCATGGAATTTGGTCAAAGAAATTTGTCATTCCAATTCCATCAAATTCCTTCAAATTCCACGAACCAAACAGTCCCTAAGGGAAATCACTTTTGTAACTAACTAGGAGTGAATATTTAGTGATCCACCATTATCTTGATTTAGGCAATATAAATTCTATTCCACAAAAGAAAGTTAATATCTAGAAAGTCCATATATGATGATTTATTGCTCACTCTGTTCATTGCAGGAGCATTATTTCCCCACAAACCGTCATTAGCAAGACCAGTTGCCCAAGCATTTACCAGATCGTCATCAAAATTTTCAGGCTCCACCACAGGTGCTGGTTTAGTTGCTTCATATATAAGTTCAGAAAGTCCTGCTGCAAAAGCTGGATCATTTGTGCCACTCAATGGACTAACATTATGTTGATTACGAAAGACGTCAATAAGTTTGGCACTGTTGAATAGTGAGAAAAAAGAGATGTGAGAAGATGTCTGAATATATAAGCAGGACAAACATTCATAATAAAGTTGTACTACTATATACAAAGTACAATCGAGAGAGACCAACACAATTGCACCATTTATTTAAAGAACATGAACTTACTCTAATTAAAACAAGATTATATGGATGAAGGTGAAATTTGTATAGAAGAAATAAAGCTGCAAAGAAGCTATTCTAATCAATTCATTCCTGCAAACATGACAAGCATATTTTTCATACCAGGGTTTAGAAGATTTGGCATCTCCAAAGTTACATAGTCCATATGTATTTTTCACATCCAACACATGGAAGGGAGGAGGTGCTAAGTTTGTATAAAAAAGATTCACGAAATTTTCTTTTGGGGAATTTATAGAAGTGGTTCCATACTACAAGGCTTCAGAATTCAATATTCCATGAATTACGAAAGTTCCACACAGAGGGAACGTTGTATTAGTAAAGGATAGCTAATAACCATATACTTATCAAATAGGAAAAGCTAACCTAGGCACAAAGTGCTGACAGAGACTGCATTCTTGGGGCACCAGGGAAATTTTTTATTTATTCTTCGTAATGCCGTGTCCAATTGATTTAGAATAAATCATTAAGCATTTACTACTTAAGGGTAATTCCGTCTTTTGTTTATTGTTTCTGTTCACTAAGTCTACATGATTACCAGAAGCTTTAACTCCATCTGCATGAATAGCTGTAATTCCAGAAGCTTTACAAGGCTCTATTAAGACATATTCTCTTGTTGACAGAATTGCTTTTTGGCAGTGCCTTCAACTTGGATGTGAATGCTTCCAGATACTAAAGACTCCTTTGGCAAGCTGTGGAAAATCCTAGCTCCATTACTCTTTTCCCTAAACTCCAACTTCAAACTGATGCAGAGGCATCCATGTTATTTTCAGCTGGTACAAGACCAGCCCATTTTATGTCTCCGGCTCACCTTGGCTTTGATTCAGACTCTTATTTTGGGTTCGAAACAATTAAAGGGAGTATAATTTTCTGGCAGCCCAAAGGAGATTAAGATTCTTCCTCATTTATGTTTCATTAATAGTCCTTTAATTGCTTTCCAACTTTTGGTCTTTCTTTAGTCTTTCCATTTTTTCAAGAGTTATGTTTATCTTCCGGCCCTATATATGGGGTTCCAAGTTGTAGCTGGAAGACATCTTTTCTTTTTGAATAATGAGTTTACAATAGCTTGTGAAGCTGTTTTGAGTGTTCATACACAAAAGGAGTCGATTCTTGATTGTTGCTAGTATGATGCTTTGCTTTATCACTAGTAACATCAACCTTCGCCAATTTGGTTAATCTTGGTGGTGTGTAAGTACTTTGAAGTGTTGAGAAGCCTTGAAGCATATAAATGGCCAAAACAAGTTAAATCCAAGACATGCAAAATGGGTAGAATTTCTCCAATCATTTATCTTTGTTTCAAAGTATAAAACAGGGAATTCTAACATTGTTGCAAATGCCCTTTCAAGAAGATAGCCATGCTTACTGTTCTTGGGGCAAGAGTGCTAGGGTTTGCTTTCATTAAATGATTGTATCTGAATGATCCGGATTTTTCTAAAGTTATTCAAGAATGCAAAGAACGAGCTTGTGGTTCTTATTTCATACAAGACGGGTTTCTTTTCAAGAACAACAAACTTTGCATTCCTAAGAGATCCATAAGAGAGCTACTAATTAGAGAGGCTCATGGAGGAGGATTGGCTGGTCATTTTTGCATCAACCAAACCCTTGGTGTATTACAAGAACATTTCTATTGGCCACATATGGAAGGTGATGTTACTGCTCTTATTGCTAGGTGAGCAACATGTCATCAAGCTAAAAGCCAGTTTCATCAAGGCTTGTATACTCCATTACCTGTTCCTTCTCAACCATGGGAAGATATTTCTATGGATTTCATTGTGGCTTTGCCTTGTACTTAATGTGGGAAAGATGCTATAATGGTTGTGGTGGATCGTTTCTCCAAAATGGCACACTTTGTTCTGTGTCACAAAACAGATGATGCCATTCATGTTGCTGATTTATTTTTTAAAGAAATTGTGCTTCTTCATGGAGTCCCTAAAACCATAGTTTCTGACAAAGATGTCAAGTTCTTGAGTTACTTTTGGAAATCATTATGGAAGTTATTGGGCACCAAGTTATTGTTCAGCACCGCCGATCTTCCACAAACGGACGGAGGTAACTAATTGAACACTCACAACCTTGCTAAGAAGTATGGTGAGCAAGTCCTTGAAAGATTGGGATGTTAAACTTTCTTTTGCCGAGTTTGCTTATAACTGATCTCCAACTTATGCTATTAAATGCACACCATTTGAAGTGAACTATGGAGTGGATCCTCTCTCCCCTATTGATCTGATACAACTTCCTAAGGGTAGTGAAGTTCACTTTAAGGCATCAACTCGAGCCAAAGAAATGCAAAAGATTCATGAACAGGTCAAAGCAAAGATTGAACATGTCAACGACTTGTACAAGAAAAAGGCCAACAAGCATCGCAAGAAGGCTCTCTTTGAACCTGGAGATCTCGTGTGGTTGCACTTAAGGAAGGAAAGATTTCCTTTAAAACGGAAGAACAAGCTAATGGCAAGAGGAGATGGACCATAAAAGGTGTTGGCAAGGATTGGAGATAATGCCTACAAACTAGTGTTACCTAGGAATACAAACATATCAGCAACTTTCAATGTTGGAGATCTTTCTCCTTATCTTGAAGATGGTACATTGGAAGATTTGAGGGCAAATCCTTCCCAACCAGAGGAGGTTGATGCAGAGCCATCCATGTTATTTTCAGCCGGTACAAGACCAGCCCATTTTATGTCTCCGGCTCACCTTGGCTTTGATTCAGACTCTTATTTTGGGTTCGAAACAATTAAAGGGAGGAGTATAATTTTCTGGCAGACCGAAAGAGATTTAGATTCTTCCTCATTTATGCTTCATTAATAGTCCTTTAATTGCTTTCCAACTTTTGGTCTTTCTTTGGTCTTTCCATTTTTTTAAGAGTTATGTTTATCTTCTAGCCCAAAATATGGGATTCCAAGTTGTAGCTGGAAGACATCTTTTCTTCTGAATAATGAGTGTACAATAGCTTGTGAAGCTGTTTTGAGTGTTCATACACAAAAGGAGTCGATTCTTGATTGTTGCTAGTGTGGTGCTGTTGCTTTATCACTAGTAACATCAACCTTCGCCAATTTGGTTAATCTTGGTGGTGTTTAAGTACTTTATCCTTGATCTAATCAGATTGTTAATCTCACCCTAGTCTTATCCCTCTTTTTACTCATCCACCTACGCATCACAAACAATTTAGTATTCCATGGAACCTATACATAGTGTGGAAATCGGGATTTTGTATGAACAAAGCAAGACATAAACATAGACATATATATGTGCCTTAGGGTTTATTTTTTAACTCCAATTTGTAGGTTTTTATCACCAATTCTTCACTTTTTCAATATCAATACATCACTAACTTGTAGTTCATCATCATCAATTCGTATTTTTTTCACCACCAGCTTATAATCAATCTGAAATTAAAGTTAAAAGTAAACCCAAGAAGTAAATCATGACTAGGTCAATTCATGTATAACACCTTAATAAGATGTAAACAAACAATAACATATGTAATTCAGACTCCATCAGAAAAAGGCAGGCAAACTAAGCTAATGAATCCGATCCATCAGAAAAGATATTGAAAAAACACGGTAAAATATTTAATAGAAACAAAAAAAGACAATGTTATATGGATGATCGAGTAAGGTTGCACCAAAGAGAGATTACTCGACATAAAATAAAAAAGAGACAACACAATTAGTATCATGACCATGTTTAGTCAACATGACTTTCCATACGAAGGTGAATGAAGATTGTTAAAATATAAATATTGTATTTATTTGTTTAGGCCCAGTTAGCCCATGGGCCCTTAGGATTTCTCTTTCCTAGGTTTCTAATCTATATGTATCCTTGTACCCTTTCGTTGTAATAGACAAGTTAAGCGATATTATAATCCCCGATTACATGGTATCAGAGCACGATTTCGTAACAAGCACCGTTTTCATCTCTGTTCGTGGAAATTTCTTGGTATGATGTCTTTTCTTGGATCGGGAAGTTTCCTGATTTTGTAATTGTTTTCATCTCTGTTCGTTGGCGGTTTGGCACCCTATGAGTGCGCCATTCACTTTTTGTGGCCTTTTTGGCACCCTGTGAGTGCGTCGATCACTTTCTGCGGCCTTTTGGCACCCTGTGCGTACGCCGATCACTTTCTGCGGCCTTTTGGCACCCTGTGAGTGCGCCGTTCTTTTCTAGCTTGCTATCCTTTGTCCTAGTTTGACGGTTTCAAGTTCGTGATTTATTGGAAGATGATTGGAGAAGACAAACCATTTGGCAGTGGCCCACGTGTACCCGAGATGCTTCCGGTAAATGTTAGACTTATCAAGACAAACATCAGCGTGTTCATTTAAGTCCTAGAGTTTATATTAAGCGGGCCTCATCCCCATTTGAGTTGGTAAATTCTGATGTTTGGGGACCATGTCCTGTTAATTCAAAACTTGGATTTAAGTATTTCGTTACGTTTGTTGATGATTATTCTCACACTACTTGGCTTTATTTTATGAAAAATCAATCCAAGGTAATTACACATTTTTGTTCACTCTATGTTGAGATTAAAACACAGTGTAAAGTCTCTATTCAAACTCTTCGTAATGATAATGCAAAAGAATATTTGTCCCAAACATTTCAGTCATATATGCTTCAAAATGGTATTCTTCATGAGTCTTCTTGTGTTGGCACACCAGCCTATATGGTTGCAGAGCAAAAGAATTGTCATCTCTTACAGGTCATGAGGCTATACGGTTGTGGAGCATGACTGTTCCTAAACTTTTCTGGGCAGATGCTTTTGATACTGATTGTTTTCTCATCAACAGATGCCCTCTGTTGTTTTGGATGGTAGAAGTCCTTTCTCAGTTCGGTTTCCTAAAAAATCATTGTTTACTGTCGACCCAAAGATCTTTAGTGTTTTGCCGTGATACCCGACCACAAATAACTAAGTCGGATCCAAAGTCTCTGAAATGTGTCTTTCTTGGTTACTCTCGACTTCAAAAAGGGTATAAGTGTTTTTCTCCCACGCTTAATCGATGCATTGTATCTCAAGACGTTACATTCCATGAGAATATACACTTCTTTCCTATGTCCACTCCTTGCAACCCAAGAGATAGTGATGATTTGTTGGTATATGCCATACCTGTTCCTGAGTTTCCTACCTCATTCGACTCAACATAGCCTCAAGAGCCTACTAACCACGAATAGTTCATGTATATAATAGGCGGAAACGACCTACATCATATTCCGACGCTATACCATCTTCGTCATGGTTTGCAGATCCCCCTAATGATGATCCTCTTGCTTCAAGTGATCTTGATCTTCCCATTGCCTTTCAGAAAGGTAAGCACACGTGTACTTACCCTATTTCTTCTATTGTTTCCTATGATAAACTTTCTTCACATTCTCGTTCTTTGATTTCTACACTTGATTCTTTATATGTTCCTAAAATGATTGGTGAAGCTGTGGCCCATCCTCGATCGCGGGATGCTACGATTGATGAGATTAATGCTTTCGATCATAATGATACATGGGATTTGGTATAGTTACCAGCGGGCAAAAAGGCAATTGGCTGCAAATGGGTATTCGTTGTGAAAGTCAATCCAAATGGATCCATGGCTCGTCTAAAAGCCCGGTTGGTAGCCAAAGGATATGCTCAGACTTATGGGGTCGACTACTATGACACATCTTCTCCAATGGCTAAGGTACCCTCCATCCGGCTGTTTATTTCATTAGCACTGCTTACGACTGGGTACTAACCAAATGGATATGAAAAATGCCTTCTTGCACGGTGAATTACATGAGGAAGTTTATATGGAGCAACCACGTGGGTTTGTTGCTCAGGAGGAGTCTGGCAAAGTCTGTAAATTGTGTAATTCATTGTATGGTTTAAAGCAATCCCATCGTGCTTCATTTGGACGGTTTAATGTCGTAGTGACTGAGTTTGGATTATGAAGGAGCTCTTATGATCATTTTGTGTTCTTTACTTCGTCCTCTTCTGGATGTATTCAACTTGTGGTGCATGTTGATGACATTGTAATTACTGGGAGTGATGAGACTGGGATCAAGAAGTTGAATGCTTTCCTTGCGTCTCGGTTTCAAACAAAGGACCTAGGTCCTTTAAAATCCATCTTGGGATGATTGAAACAAAACCTTGTAAGGCCCCAATGATTCCAAATATGAAATTGAAAGCAGACGATCGAGATCTACTTGAGGATCCAGAAAAATACAGAAGAATTGTAGGAAAGCTAAAGTACCTGACGATTACAAGTCCAAACATCGTTTTTCGAGTGAGTGTTGTAAGTCAATTTATGCCATCTCCAAGAACTCCACATTGGAACGATGTTAAGCATATAAAGAAGTACCTAACGGTACCCCTGGTCTTGGCATCCTTTATCAAAATCACAGTCATCATGTCATAGAAGGGTTTACAGATGCCAACTATAATGGGGATTCTACGAACAAGCGGTCTACAAAAGACTATTGTGTGTTGGTTAGAGGGAATCTAGTTTCATGGACAAGCAAGAAACAAGATGTCGTTTCCCGGTCAAGTGTTGAATTTGAATATAGGGTTATGGTCCAAACAACTTGCGAGTTGATATGGTTGTGTAATCTGCTATGTGAGCTTAGGTTTGTTCAATCTAAACCGATGAATCTATATTGTGATAATGAGGCGGCTATCCACATTGCAAACAATCCCTTGTTTCATGAAAAAACAAAACATTTCGAAGTAGACTGTCATTTCACTTGTGAAAAGCTAGAAGATGGAACCATCTCAACTCCCTTTGTTCGAACAGGAAGTCAACTTGTTGATGTCTTTACCAAAGCTTTACCTGGTTCGCGAATCTCTTCTATCTGTAACAAGTTGGGCATGATTAACATCTATGCTCCAACCCGAGGGGGATTGTTAGAATAGAAATATTGTATTTATTTGTTAAGGCCCAGTTAGCCGGTGGGCCCTTGGGGTTTCTCTTTCCTAGGTTACTTGTCTATATATATCCATGTACCTTTCGTTGTAATACACAAGTCAAGCAATAATATAATCTCTGAAAAGATAATAGAAGACTCCTACCTAGTTGGCCCAAGAGGTAGATATTTTGCTCTTGGAACATAACAAAATAACGAAACCAGATTGAGGAGCCTTTCATGATTTTGATAAAGCTTCTTAAGTTCTTCATCAGTCCACTCCTTTTTCGCATTGTCATGGTTACGCATTTCCCTGGAAACTCAAGTACAGAATAATCAGTACACAAGGTGAGCAACAGAAAGCTTTTCTATATTATGGTCGAGAAATTTGAAGTAGATAAATTATCTCATGTACCTACTTTATCAATTCGTCTTGTGCATTATACATTTCATCAAGGACCTTCAGCACAGGACTTAGCAAAGATCCGAGACCAGTACCACTAGCTCCTTGATCTTCACCATTACTGATATGCATATCTGACAACTGAGACTGCACGCCTCCTTGTGCTAAAGCATGTAAAAATTCATAGATCTGTAGCCTATACGGCTCGCCTGATCTTATTGCCAGGGTAGTAAGAGCTTGAGCAGCAACAATACGGACCTGAGACGAAAAAATTTAATCATCAAAGAGCCTGATGAAAAGCAAGCACCAAGGGTAAACTGCTGCAACACCGGCCTTTGACTAAATTACAGCTCTTACATTGCAATAAGTTGCAGAATCACACCAGGACATTACACAATTGATCCTCTTTTTCTTAACTGTCATGCAACTCATTGTTGGCACACGGAAAGTCTTTATACTCAGGGCATTAAGTGACAAACCAAACCAAACCAAGCGGAGCCTATATATCCCACACGGAAGTAGGGTCTAAGGGGGTAGGATGTACGCAAACCATACTTCTATCCCAAGTAGTGAAGAGGCCATTTCTGTTCCCGGGCTTGTGAAAAAGTATTTGCATAAAAGGTTCAGGGAAGTCTTAAGCGACTGCGACATTGATGAAAATGCAACAGGACTCTTATCATATATTTCAATGAAAAAAAGAAAATTACAAGTGATTTGAGAAGTAGGTGATCTCCTAGGACTCTAGACATAATTTTTCCTACCCACCCCAAAAACTTTATCCCTAATGACCTATATAGTCAAGATCCCTAAGCCTGCATAATTCAAATAGCATACTAGAAGATATCCTAATAATAAAAGACAATTGATTAATATAATAATAAAATATAACTAATTAATATTAACTAGGCCCTCCAAAGTCTCAAGAAACACCCCACACCCCCTTGAGACGGGTGCTGGTGCATTCTATCAAAACATGGAGAAGTGTGAGACACCATCACAAAAATATTGGAAGGTTTGAAGATCTTATAATTCAGTGAAGAGCTTGAGACATTTTTGGTAACGTATGAAGATTTGTGGAGAAAGTATAGTTGACAAAATTAGTGTCCCTCTAGGAAGACTTAAAGGACAAATGAGAATTGAAACGTTTTTACCAAAAGACACAAACCAAAAACCAATTCTTTTGTAATATTAAAGAACGACCCATATACCCATTATGTTACGGCTAGTCAGGTTGTGATCAGGTTCTCGTTTTCTTGGTTCACTTAGAGTTTTGCAGTACCATATGCAGAGCATACAAATCGTCTATCAATATCAGTAAAGATACGAAGAGCATTTTGGTAAACAAATTTAATGCTCAGAGGAAAGGTACATCAGCGAAAGCCTTGGAGCAACCGAGCAAATGATAATGTTAGCTTCTTTGTATAATACAAAGACTGGCTGCATATAAAGATTTCGTTCACCAACCTTGCGAAACTGAATAGCCTTAGGGCGTCTTCTTCGCGATTTATGAGAGGTTAATAATTGCACATTCATGTACTAGGAGTTGGTAGCCATTTAGTTTAACAATGTTTTCTTGGATGTCTTTGAAGTTTGAAGTTCTATTAGAGGAAGGATGGTAGTGTCAACTGTCAAGTAGTGAGAGGTGATTTTTGTTATAAACTGTGAGAAGGATGGTATGGTGCGCGCAAAGACGCAAACTAATGAGTACAAAGAATCTGAAGCTTGGTGTTCTAGGCCAATCAGGGCACTTGCAATCATCAGTAAGGATTGTGATATTTAGCAGGACATAAGGAGTATCTGCTTTTTACCATAGGTTAATAGAATGATACTGCAAACTATAGCAAACATTATAATTCTTATACCTATAAGCAATGTTATACAAGATATTGCAAGATGTGTACGACACAAAGACGCCAGACAAAGATGCTACTACCTGCCTTAAATTTGATAAAATGCTACGATGAAGATCAAAAGCAAAAAGACACTACATAAACATACTGACAACTATGAATAATCATTTCAAACACAAGTAGTTCAAGCCTCAAATTTCTTCTCTCACGATATAAAACAAAGACATTTCCTGAAGAATGTTCCATATAAGAGAAGATTGTGAAAGGAATGGGCCAGACTTACAWGTGGACTTATAACGCATATTCTAAAATGCTAATTTTGAAAATTTCAAGATCAACCAAATACCTCCCAGCTGCCAATGAAAGCGCATCTTTGAAGTCGAGTCAGTGCACTAGCTAGAGTTGGATTACRGGAACTAGCTGCTGCAACCATTTTATCTGCATCCAACATCATCAGCGCAGTCCCAGGAGGGGTTGCTGACTCCCAAGCATATTCAGAAGCAGCATAATTTGCATTTTCTCCAAGGAACCACACCTGCAAGGGTTTTARTCAACTAGAATACAAAGCATAAACCTTATAATAACTCATCGAGTTTCATGTTGAAAAACTATGATTCTTACTGCTGCTTGAACTAATCTCTGCAAAGCCAAAGCTGACTTTGGATCCGATGCAGAAACTCTATCGATTGAGGTAAGCCCAGACATGGAGCCAAGCTGTGGAGGTGGCAGATCAAGAACTACTGTGACAGCTTCCAGAGCTGTATGTCTACCCTCTGGACCAGCTCCAACCAGGCATGTCTGCATGGAAAAAAGCCAGTAGACATATGTAATGAAGCAAAATGACCAGACGCCACACTCTCTCCAGAAAAGAAGATCGACAGAAACAGGAGAGGAGAAGATTGTTAGAAGTTCAGTATGACATAATTAGTACACTATAAAATATGCAAATAAAATGTAAATATGGAGAAGTATCAGGTTAAAATGTGAATGGGCTTACTATTTCACCTGTATTGGTTACCTTTATTTAGTATAAATATAGCATCTCGATCAATATATATACAACTAAAACRRAAAAKTCTTCTCTTATGGTATCAGAGATTGGCGCTCCTCTCCCACTGCTGACATTTTTCCCTTACTCCCTCCATCACCGTCACTATTGCAACRAATCCTCGAGCAGGGACTTTTCCGTCCATTGCTACCACTGCTCATCATAACCTTGYTTCTRTTAACCACAAGGGTGGTGCCTGATTGGTTTGAKCTTGGCTCCAAAGGTSAAAAGTGCCTGGAGGTCACAGGTTCAAATCCAAGAAGGAACAAAAATCCCCTTGTGGCCACRGAGGTTCAATTGCKGTGACTCCGGGMTACCTGCAAAGCAGGTGGTCGCCCTGGGATTAGTCGGCTCGCATAMTGGGTTGGATATCCAGGTTATTAAAAAAAAYCTTGCTTCTGTTGTTGCTTATAGCTGTTGCTGCTKCTGCTATCAATCTCCGCTCGTAAATCAGAGTMACTGCCCTASCAACTGATTTTTTYCCTTCTGCTAGACTGTGAATCAGTCAATTCACCGGCTGTTTCGCTTTCCTATATTCTTTCAGATGCATCTTCCTTGGTTATTCTCCAAACTACAAAGGGGTATAAATGGTATGACCCTGTAACAAGGAAGTTCCTCACCTCCATAGATATAACCTACTTCAAAAACAAACTCTTTTACATAGAACCTATCCAGGCCAGAAATATTTCTCCTACTCCTATCCCATATTGAAACAAAAAAGGAAACCCAGGTCTATTCACGCAGAAAGAAGTTGTAATCAGGGATTATATCATTGCTTTTAACTTGTGTTTTACAAAGAAACAATACAAGGATATATATAGACAGAAAACCTAAACAAAAGAGGAACCCTAAGGGCCCATGGGCTTAATGGGCCTAAGTAACTATATACCGTATTTACATTCTAACACTCCCCCTCAAGATGGAGCATAGATGTTAATCATGCCCAGCTTGTTACAAATAAAAGAGATTCACAAACCAGGTAATGCTTTGGTGAAGACATCAGCAAGTTGTCTTCCTGTTTGAACAAAGGGGGTTGAGATGATTTCATCTTCTAGCTTTTCACGAGTGAAATGGTAGTCAACCTCGACGTGCTTTGTTCTTTCATGAACACGGGGTTGTTTGAAATGTGGATAGCCGCCTCATTATCACAATATAGGTTCATTGGTTTAGATTGAGCAAACCCAATTTCACCTAGCAGATTGCGCAACCATATCAGCTTTCAAATGGTTTGGGCCAGAGCCCTGTATTCAGATTCAACACTTGACCGGGAAGCGACGTTCTGTTTCTTGCTTTTCCATGGAACTAGATTCCCTCCGACCAACACACAATAGCCTGTTGTAAACCGCCTAGTAGTCGGATCCCCATTATAGTCGCCATCTGTGAACCCTTCTATGACATGATGATCGTAATTTTGATAAAGGATACCAAGACCAGGAGCACCCTTTAGGTACTTCAGTATATGCCTAACAGTGTCCCAATGTGGAGTTCTCGGAGGTGACATAAATTGACTTACTACACTCACTGGAAAAGCGATGTCAGGACGTATAATCATCAAGAGTTTAGCTTTCCCACATTCTTTTGTACTTTTCTGGATGCTCAAGTAGATCTCCACCGTCCACTTTCAATTTCATATTTTGAATCATTGGGTCCTCGCAAGGTTTTGTTTCAATCATACTAGAGTCATTCAATATCTCCAAACATAATTTTCGTTGAGACAAACGTATCCCTTTCCGAGTACGAGATACTTCAATTCCCAAAAAGTATTTTGAAGGACCTAGGTCCTTTGTTTGAAACCGAGACGCAAGGAAATCTTTTAGCTTCTTGATCCTAGTCTCATCACTCCCAGTAATCACAATGTCATCAACGTATACCACTAGTAGAATACATCTGGAAGATGACAAAGTAAAGACACAGAATGATCATAAGAGCTCCTCCATAAGCTGAACTCGGTCACTACGGCATTAAACCGTCCAAACCAAGCACGAGGGGATTGCTTTAAACCATACAATGATTTACGTAGTTTACAGACTCTACCAAAATCCCCCTAAGCAACAAACCCAGGTGGTTGCTCCATACAGACTACCTCATGTAAATCACCATGTAAGTAGTCATTTTTCACATCCAATTGGTGTAGTACCCGGTCGTAAGTAGCGGTTAATGAAACAAACAGGCAGATGGAGGGTACCTTAGCGAGGATGATTCAACCAGCGAATGAAGTGGGTCAACTTTTTGTCTTCGAGCAAAAAAAATTTCTTGCTGATCGAGCTTTCACACAAGAGAAAATGTCTCGTGGTAGTTGACCCCATAAGTCTGAGCATATGCTTTGGCTACCAATCGGGGTTTTAGACGAGCCACGAATCCATCTAGATTAACTTTCACAGTGAATACCCATTTACAGCCAATTGCCTTTTTGCCTGTAAGTAACTCTACCAAATCTCATGTATCATTATGATCGAGAGCATTCATCTCATCAATCATAGCATCCCGCCATCCCACTTGGGCCAAAGCTTTACCAACCATTTAGGAACAGATAAAGAATCAAGTGTAGAGATCAAAGAACTAGAACATGACGAAAGTTTATCACAGGAAACAACAGAAGAAATAGGGTAAAATACATGAGCGCTTACCTTTCCGAAGAGCAATAGGAACATCAAGATCAGGAACTGTGTATCGGAAGGTGGTGGATCACTCGAAGCAAGAGGATCATCATTAGGCGAATCTGCAGACGATGATGAAGATGGTGTTGGTCGGGATCTGATGTAAGTCGTTGCCACCTATTATATACATGAACTATCGGTGGTTTAGTAGGCTCTTGGGTCTATGTCAAGTCGGATGGGGTAGTAGACTCAGGAACAAGTATGGTATACACCAACAAATCATCACTATATCTTGGGTTGCAAGAGTGGACATAGGAAAGAAGGGTATATTCTCATGGAATGTAACGTCTCGTGATACAATGTATCGATTAAGCATGGGGAAAAACTAATACCCTTTTTGAAGTCGAGAGTAACCAATAAAGACACATTTCAGAGACTTTGGATCCAACTTAGTTATGTGAGGTCGGGTTTCGCGGACAAAACAAGAACTACCAAAGATCTTTGGGTCGACAGAAATCAATGATTTAAAACTGAGAAATAACTTTTACCATCCAAGGCAACGGAAGGCATTTGGTTGATAAGAAAAGAAGCGGTAGCAACCGCATCAGCCCAGAAGACTTTAGGAACAGTCATGTGAAATAATAGAACCTGAGCCACCTCTAGGAGATGACGATTCTTTCGTTCCGCAACCCCATTTTGAGCTGGTGTGTCAACACAGGAAGACTCATGAAAAATGCTATTTTGAATCATGTACGAATGAAATGGTAGGGACAAATGTTCTTTTGCACTATTACTACGAAGAGTTTGAATGGAGACTTTAAACTGGGTTTTAATCTCGGCATAGAGTGAACATTTTTTAATACCTCAAATCGATTTAAAATAAAGTCAAGTCAAGTAGTGCGTAAGTAATCATCAACAAACGTAACAAAAACTTAAACCCAAGTTTTGAAGTAACAGTCCCCAAACATTAGAATGGACTAACTCAAATGGGGATGAGGCCCGCTTATTACAGACTCTAAGACTTAAATGAATACGCTGATGTTTGGCAAATTGACAAGACTCACATTGTAGAGAAGGTAAATAAGAAAACTCAGGACACACCTTCTTCAAATTCTGTAAAGATGGATGACCTAATCGACAAATGAACTTCAAGTGGAGGCAATGAGCTGGAACAAGTCAATGAGGAAGGTACTTGATGTTCAAATATGTATACGCCATCAGTCTCCCGCAATCTACCAATAATCCTCTTCGCCGACAGATCCTCAAAAACATAGAAATCAGGAAAGAATGAGACACAACAATTTAAAGCTCGGGTAATTTTGATGACTAATAAAAAATTGAACGAGAAATTAGGTAGGCTCAATACGGAAGATAACGAAACAAACGGGTAAGATCGGCTGTGCCAGAAGGATAGGTGCGGTAGACCCGACAACAATTGTGACATGTGATGGGAATTTGTGTTTATTGAAATTAGAAAAGATGGTGGGATTACATGTCATGTGATCTGAAGCACCTGAATGAATGACCAATTTAAATGTGGAAGATAATAGGCATGTAATAGAGTTACTTGTCTCAGCAAATGTAATAGAGTTACCTGTCTCAGCAAATGCACTAGTTGGAGCAGTGGAATTCTCAGTCCCTAAAAGTCGAGCATATTTTTCTACGGGTATAGTAACAATACTATCTGAGGCAGATGCAACGTGCGCTGATGAACTCCTTAAATGTCTGGCAAAAAGCTTCTTACATTTGCGCTTGGTATGACGTAACTCATGGCAGTAGTAACATTCAACATTATCAGAATCTCGAATAGTAGCCCATGAGTCAGTTGTTCGGTCATTGTGGCTACCTCTAGAGACACCATGGTGACCCTACGAAATCCTCCTCGGTAGCCACCATGAAATCCCCCTCGACCAACTAGAGCACTGTTGTGATCAGAAGTTTGAGAAGCCTGAAGATTCTCATTCCTAAGAACACAGGCAAAAATTCCTTGAAGAGAAGAAATAGCAGATTCATTCAAGAACTGAGATCTGATATAGTCAAATTCTGGTCGCAAACCGGTCAAGAAACTGATAACAGCCACTTGTTCCCTCTGAGTCTGCATGGCTTTGACATCAGCACTTAATGGAAGAAGAGAGTTAAGCTCCTCATACACTTTCTTCAACTCCATGACATACGTAGTGAGTGATCGGTCATGTTGTTCTCCACGATGAAAGGACTTACAAACACTATAGATTCGAGAGATGTTACTTTGTCCACAATACAAAAAATCAAAGATAATCCATAAGTTCCTTCACATATTCGTAGTGACTAAACGTGACGGAACAGAAGGCTCAACAGTATTGATAATTTGCAAGTACAAACGAGCATCACTTTGGAACCATGAATCAGAATCGTTACCTATAGGAGGATGCGATGTGAAATGAGAAACCATTCCCATGCTCCGGAGATAGATACAAATAGTTTTGCTCCACTCAAAGTAGTTGGAGACACTAAGCTTGTTGTCGGTGAGCTTAGCATTTACTGGAAGCATCTCGGGTACACGTAAACTACTGTTACTGTCAGATGTTTTGTCTTCTCCGGTCATCTTCCAATAAATTATGAACCTGAAGAGAGAGCGTAGAACTTGGGACGAAGTATAGCAAACCAGAAAGCAAACGACGCACTCACAAAGTGCCAAAGAAACCGACGAACAGAAAACTTCAGATCCAAGGAACTAAAAATGTAGCGTTTAAAAACAAAAAATAGCAGCAACAAAGCTTGCTGTCTACCAAAATAATCAAGTAAAACAGCCCCGAATCACAGCAGCACCAAACAACCGGGGAAGCAGCACCCAAACGCAAACAAATCTGAAGTCGTGAGGAAGAAAAACACGCCCAGATCTGGATACCATGTAATCAGGGATTATATTATTGCTTTTAACTTGTGTTTTACAAAGAAAGGGTATAAGGATATATATAGGCAGAAACCGTAAGGGCCCATGGGCTTAATAGGCCTAAGTAAATATATACCGTATTTACATTCTAACAGAAGCAAAGTGACTAAATGCTTGTGCAACCTCAGCATGGCCATGAATCTCAGCTGGATCCTTTTCCTGATAAATCCAAAACCGGGAAAGGAATAAATTCAGATTAGTAGTATCCATTTCCTGATAAACCCCAGTTGCTAAAAGGGAGCCTGGTCGTGTACCTAATATCCTATCAAAAATTACCTATTTTACAAAGCTTTTCTTACCAAGTTATCGTGCTTTTGTGTATACAATTAATGAAATACAAGATCCAACATCAGTCTATTAGCCCTACAAGTTACAATTTGGAAAAATACCACATTTGAAGAAATCAAGGCCTTAAAAACAATCAAGCATGGGATATTATAGACCTCTTTTCTGCCTTCTTATTCTTAGCATGCTTCTCGATCTTAGGAGCTAACTTGCAAACCTCCTCGAATGACCCAATAAGGTTGCTATTCGAGTTTCACAGCAATATCATGGTTCAATCCGCCAACATAACGAGCCATAGTTTGTTCCGATCTCTCACTAAGTAACACAAGTTGCTCAAATTCACGAGTGTATTCATCAATACTGAGATTACCTTGTTTAAATTTGGTTATCTTGATATAGAGATCTTGCTTGCAAGAATCTGGAAGGAATCTCTCCTTGAGTAGTTTCTTGAGTATTCTCCAAGACCGGATCTTGGACTTGCCACTTCATTCTCGCTTGGCTTTCATGTTCTCCAACCATAACGAGGCATATTTCTTAAGTTTCAAAACAGCAACTTTGTAACTTTTCTCATCAGAATACCCCTTGACATCGAAAAGGTTCTCGATATCATTCAGCCACTCAATAAAATCATTCGGGTTTGATCCTCCATTGAATTCTGGAGCATCTGCTTTGACATCTCTAAGTCTAAGATCATCTCTAACTCTTCTTCTGTGAACAAAAGACTGACCAGATTCATCTGAACTATAATGGCTAGGGTCAGTTAAATAACTTCGTTGTTTGTCATCCAGTAGTCTTGCAAGCTGTTGAGTTATGAGTTCAGTAGTTCTTTGAAATCTGTCTCTCACGCCAGAAATTCTGAACTTCTTCTGCGGTCATACCATGAGGAATTGCCACGATCTTTATATGGAGGAAAGAAAATAGTAAGATGATAAGAAGTAAGAACACAACCCAAGGACAACCTGGGTTTGCTCTGATACCGGTTGATGCGTAGGTGGATGGGTAAAAAGAAGGATAAGACTAGGGTAAGATTAACAATTTGATTAGATCAAGGATAAAGTACTTAAACACCACCAAGATTAACCAAATTGGAGAAGGTTGATGTTACTAGTGATAAAGCAACAGCACCACACTAGCAACAATCAAGAATCGACTCTTTTTGTGTATGAACACTCAAAACAGCTTCACAAGCTATTGTAAACTCATTATTCAGAAGAAGAAAAAAAAGATGCCTTCCTGCTACAACTTGGAACCCCGTATATAGGACTAGAAGATTAAAATAAACATAACTCTTGAAAAATGAGAAGACTAAAGAAAGACCAAAAGTTGGAAAGCAATTAAAAGACTATTAATGAAGCATAAATGGAGGAAGAATGTTAATCTCCTTTGGGCTGCCAGAGAATTATACTCCTCTGTTTAATTGTTTCGAACCCAAAATAAGAGTCTGAATCAAACCCAAGGTAAGCCGGAGACATAAAAAGGGTTGGTCTTGTACTGGCTCAAAATAACATGAATGCCTCTGCATCACTCGGTCTGTCCAAAAAGAGAGGTGCGTGAGCCTTCCTAATGAGAGAAGGATACGAGTTTCTAGGCATCTTCAAATGGTTGGGGGATTAGTATTATTAACATGAACAGTAATGACAAATGTTCAATGATGAAACAAACCAAGGTGAAGGCAGAGGACATGGCGATGTATCCAAGATCACTTGGTTATATGTCGAATACACCAGCTATGCCTAGCATGTGAAATGGGTACATAAAAATGTTGTGCTCAACCTGGAATACAATCAGGAAGTTGGAAGTACCAGAAATTCCTAGAGGCATATCATCAGAAAAGCTTCCTTGACCAATTGGTAGATCAAAAAAACAGCAGTCGCAGCTACAAAAGTGGCTAAATATGCAACAGCAATCCAAGGTCGCATACCCATATAGAAACTAAGTTCCCACTCACGAGTCATGTAACAATACACCAAGTAAGAAGTGTAGAATTAGTTCATAAGGACCACCATTGTATAACCTTCCCATATTGGATAAAATGCCACTCATACCCAGAGCTAGCTGGTTCTCCCCATAATGCGTTGAGGCGCAACAGTTGACTGGACATCTAGGGGTAAAACACACGTTGTGGTGTGGGCCACGGAAACGGTTCCCAAATCGAGGAAAACTCTGAATACTAGATATGACCTCAAAATATCAGGGGTCAAGGTCGGCCGGTTAGACGATGGGGGATAAGTTTCATCGTCGAAACAGAGTAGGGGTGCAGAGAAAGCCAGGAGGTTTGCCTAGAAGCAGCCACCCTTGAAAGAGTGCATAATAGCTCACTGATCGAGCGCTCTTGCACCGAAGATGAAGGCTCATCTAAAACATTTAGCGTCATACGCACTACACCTACCTTCAATCTTCAATTTACTGAGAAGATGAACTTGATTCAAATTTTCAAGGAAGAGAACTTCTTGTGCTTCTATAGCACGGTCAGGTATCTCTACTGGTGCCTTGGATCACATGATAGGAAACAAAGATATATTATCAATATTATCTCTTCCTTTATATCTCTTATTAGAATAGCTAATGGCTCAAATATTCTGGTAGGAGCCACTAATTCACTAAATCTCAATTCTTAGTTCAATTATTCAATGTCCTTTTACAGGCCTGTGTTACCTGATAATTTGTTATCTGCAAGTAAAGTTACTGAGGAATTAAATTGCTCAATAATATTTTTCTGTAATCCTTGTATGTTCAGACTTGAGACTTCTTGGATGATTGGGACTGGCAGATGATTTGTATCAGTTGAGCATCCTATCCTCCACAGCATATCAAAGCTAAAGAGCTTTGCAAGACATTTATGTTTGATAGCATCATCAATCATGTGTTATACCTTGGTAGTTTGCCATCAGATTCACATATGTGCATAGAAATAAGTACAAGGGATATTAATACGTATAATGGGCATTCTGTTTAGTAAAACCAAATAGAGTAGCAGCCTAGGAGAGATCTGGCGTCTCGAATATTAGAACGCTTCTGTAATCTTTCGATTAATGCAAGCATTCTCAATATTTTACTGTATCAATTGGTATCAGAGAGATAAAATCCTACATCATGAAGAAAAGGTTAGCATCCAGAGTTGATGAAATCGAAGAGCGATTGAATGTTGAAAGAGGATGTTCAAGTGGTGAGGAGGGAGATGGAGTTCGCTTTGAAGAGGCAGGCAACATGAGGAACAGTCGATCGAGGAAAGAGTCGCCGGACTTGGATAACGAGGGCCGGAGGAGGGCAATGGTTTGCAATCAAGGGTGATGGCTGGAATTGCCAGTTCTTGATGGAACTGATCCCAATAGTTGGGTAAATGCATGTTGAACGGTACTTTTCACTATACCAAATTTATGAGGAGAAACAAAATCGAGGTCTGTGTCATTTTCTTTAAAGATGATGTGCTTAGGTGGTTCCAGTAGGAAAACAGACGAAGACCTATTAATAGAGTATCTAAATTTGATGTGTATCTCATGCACTGCAAACACCAGAACTGTCAGATGTATAGAGCTAGTAATATGATGACAAATTAAATTTCATTTCAAATAACTACAAAAACACGTCTTATCAAAGAAAGGACTGAGGAAACACTCACTTTCCACAAAAGTTGCAACACATCAGAATCAATTTTTCCAGGCACTTTAGTAGCAAACACTCTTGCTATTTCAAGAAGGATAACAGCCATATCTGGAGTAGCCTATAAAGAACAAAAAGAGAAGATTACAAGAAGAATATCATACAAGTAAGGAAGCACAAGAGATAGAAATTTAGTTAATATAAAACCAGATAGCATGTGTGTAACTGAAAGTAGAACAAGACGAATGCATGAAACAAATGTTGATACTAACAATGCTGGAAAATCATTAAGTGGTATATGCTAACAGTTGCCATTCCAACTATTTCCTTCTCATCTAAATATGTTCCCAAAAAGTCATGATGTAAAGAAGTTAATAATAATATGCTGTGCTACATAGTTATTAACTTATTATTATTACTACTATAATAGTTCCAGCAAGGAACAATTGCCATCCTAGGCCACCAAATGTAACATCATCATTAACATAAAGTAGAGGCAGACGAAAACTAATGAACCAGGTTCACTTTTTCCTCTCTAATCATCTTTTACCTCAACGAAGTCATCAGTTTCTTTGTTGTTGGCCCCTCTGACATCTTTTTGAACAATGGAGTGAAGGGAGTTGATAGTAGTTTTTCCAAGATTTGTGTGAGCTAACAGTATTCGGCCGTGTGTGTAAAAGAACATATAGATTTTCCATTTCAGACATCCATTTTCACCCAACTTTTCGTGATTCACAAGAAAACACTCCTAATAGTATCCATAAGTTTTCTGTCAGAAAATCTAGATCGCTTTGTGTCACTGATATTCAATTAGCAAGGTGGACTGTGATTTACCAAAAACTATGTCACAACAGTGCAAGACTACCAGGCCTGTCCTGCTTCTTGGGGCAGATATGAGGTCTAAGATATATTGACGACTCAATAAAACAAGGAAGTACAGTAGATGTTATGCTTTTAAGTTTGATCATATCAAACAGAAACTAACATTGAAAGACAGAAGAAGATTAGAAAAGAAAAAATAGTTACAACTTGCAAGTATCTAGGTACCTTGAAACGAGCATGCAAAGTGAGCAAAATATCATTTAACAAAGTTGCTGACCAAGAAGGATCGGAAATCTCTGATGCAATCAATGATTCAAGTTCATCAAAAGTGTCCTCAGGACTTTGCATCCATATCAGTGCTTTAATCACCATAGCACGAACATAAACACATTCACATGCCACGGTTGTCCGCACCACCTCCATCAATGAGGCTAATAAACTCCCAATTGTGTCCTCGCCATCTGCCCATTCAACACATAAGAAAAGCATTGAGACCTCAAAGGTGTGGAAAATAAGCACAGATTAAAAGCAATAGCAATGCTTTCTAATCACCTTTAACATAGATAAACTGTATACAAGTAGATATAAATGAACAAATGAACCTTTAGTGCATACTAATCAGCAAATTCCATTCTCTCATCCAGAGATCATATTCATAAAAACCAACAATTCATACCCCAAGAGAATAGTTAGCTAACAATTCCGGTTAATCCCAAAGCATATGAGCAATGATTTAATTTAGAACCCAGCAGAATTTGGTCTTATCAAAATTGTGCAAGTAGACTAAGAAGTCGTTCCATGATTTACTTTTCAAATATTGATCTAAAACATAAACCTGCAACCAGCGTAATTCTGCTGTTGCAAACAGGTCTATTTCCAACATTTTTAGTACACTTAATTAACCGAAGGAAGAAAAATGGGTACATGCAAACAGTTACCAGTGGCAGTCATAAACAGTCAAGTAACATATACATAACTTGCTATTGCATGTTTGCGTAGTAACTATTAGCTTTCATTTGTTCACAATTTTCCTCCCTTCCATTGTGTCCCGTCTTCATTCCTCCATATATCAAGTAAATGAAACCCATGATGCCTTTTTTTTTTATATTTGATATTATTTGTCCTTTTTGCATGATATATTTATTTCATTCCTTTATTTATAGAATTTAGATACTTAGTTGAGATGCTAGAAGTTTCAGGAACTTGGTCGTAATTTGGACAATAAGAACCAAAAGTGTGAAAATTACACCCAAAGAGGAACTCTTCCTTCAATAACTTTGATATCTTAATCATATACTCCCTTTCTCCGATCACTTCCAAATCAACCCTAACTTCTTCCTCAAACCCGGTAGGATTACAATTTCCCCTAAAAGCACTTACAAATACAACGGTTATTGGAACCATTGAGGAGGGTATTCATTATTCATTCCATATATTTCATCCATTCTCAGCATCAAATCTCCCTTTCACGTCACTACCATCACCTCATTTAAGTTTTGGAGTCATTACTGGTGCATAACGGATACAAGCATTATCATTTGTTATCATATTATGAGTATACCTCTCTCTAGCTATGAAGTTGATTGTCACTAGCATTAGGGAATGATGTACCTTAATACCTTGTAATTATGATTGTGGCTTGAATAATGTTTAGTATAGTATTCCCATGGCTTCATGGCTATTTGTTCTTCATGATTCAATTTGTTGATTGAAACAGATTGTAGGATTACCTGGATATATGGACCCTACAAATGTGTGTTTCATGAGCTTGATTAGTAAATGAAAAGATACCATTGAAGCACATGGCAATCACCTTCAGATTCAGAGGTTCCATGATCCCAGTCATTGCTTTCGGAAAATGTATTGACAACATCCCCTTCAATATTCAGTAGACCCAGAGCAAAAGCAGCTGCCCGACTTTTCCCCATCTCTTGCACAACTCTCGCTGCTGCATGAAGCAAAGGCCGGGAGGAACTACGGAAACAAGTTTTCAACCTGAAAAAGGTTCAGAGAAAATGGTTTCCAATTTAAAAGTTTAACTAAACGCCCACAGATTTTTGCTTTCTTTTTCTAACCAGGCTTGGGAAAGCATATATTTATGTCAAAAGCTTGTGTTGTAAGAAAGTTTACTGTATAGATAAACCATGGCTGGCATATGCAGTTATGAAAGAAATACAAGTATCTACAATAAGATGTGAACCTTGTCATGACAACTTTGATAAGGAGCTGCGGACATTTTTTCTTTGATTTATCCTTTGTATAAGGTACTTTGATAACTTCCCTGGTCAAATTGTACCATCCAAGAGCTCGACCCTCCGTCCTGTGGTGGACAGATGTTACCAAAAGATAAAACACAAGGACATTAAAAAATTCTGGTTTCTGCACATCATTCAAGAAAAATGGACAACACCTCCCCCCCCCAAAAGAAAAACCAAAATACACACCAAGAAAAAGAACTAGATAAAATAGATGGTTGCATTAAAAACAAGAAGCTTTCTATACATACCAAAGTCGCCCTATAACTATATTTTGCTTGAAATAATAACTGCTTATGAGAAGTTATTTACAGTATTCAATCAACTTTCCAACCAACATCATTAGTACAAATTGACATGATTATGATCAGTTCTCCATTTAAGTAAAAGCTGATGTGAGCATTCCACTTCTCATATTAAAGATAGCTATACCAAAAGTGAAATTAATAACAACAATGATGATAAACAATATAATAAACCTCAAACAAGCATCAACATCAAATTCAGAGAGGAGAAGAGTAATATAGACAAGGTAAAGATTAAAAATAAGAAAAATGGCAACGAAATTGGAAAACAGAACATTACCCCCCCCCCCTCCCAAAAAAAACACACACGCACAGTGAATGAGAGATAAACAGGCAAGAACTCAGGTGACTTCTTTTCATCATTTTTATTCAATCAATTTTCCTTTAATTAACTTTACCCCTGTTGTTATTGAATATCTTATAATTCTAACTTACTCATTTGATTATGAACCACCCAAATATGTTCCCAAATGTTATTCTTACTTTTGTATGAACTTTTTATACTAAAGAGGAAAAAATGGTTGAAATGATAAAATTCCTTTTTCAAGTACTATTTTACTTCCAACTCGGAAATAATTAGATAAAATGAAATGCTTTAGTTCGACATCAGCTTTTAACATCTGTTGTGCAATATATATGTCAGCTTTTTATTAAATGAAAATAAAAGGCAATTGCAACATCAGCTTTTACTGAAGTAAGTGATGGAATGCTTATCAAATGGCATAAATAGCTTCTTAAATGCAGTTTATTGTTTGTGAAAGCAAAAAATTGTCTGGGTGACTTTCTTGTGAAGATAAAAACTTTGATCATTAGTTATGCAATTGTGCTGCACTTTGACCATATACCTGTCTGCATTGTCAGACTTTCCCAGTGCACAAGTGATAGCCGCAAAACAAACTGTGTCACTGGGATCAATAAGGAGTTGATACAGCAAAACATTAAACTGGGATTTAATGTCCATCCTTTCTGTTCACAGAACATCGTACTTTTAGTGCTTGCTAACCATTGCACCATTCAATGATAAGCATAGAAGTTAAGCAGTGTAAGCAATACAGACCATTTAGTGACTTAGCTCGAGATATTGTATGACACAACCTGGCCAGGGCAACTCTAGCAAGAACATCATGACAGTGCAAAATATCCTGTAGAACTCCTGATCATTTACAGTTTAGAAATTTCAGAGGGAAAGAGAACGAAACATGTAATGTTAAAGATGATGATCACATAATCAATATACCACCAGGTTGGACAAGCTTCCCTGCATCAGAAGATAAAAGAATAATGCTTCAGAAACACAAGAATACAACTGTAAGTCTGTAATGGATAAAGCTCACAGATGTTTAGATTGCTGAGGTATAATAAAGCACATTCCCATTATCAAACGATAACCTAGGAACAAACCTTGGAGCAATTATTAAGCACCATAAAGTCACAGAGTCACAAAAATGAACCTTTTCAAATTTCAAGGGAAAACTATGCATACAAATATGTCCCTCCCCAACCCTGGCAATGCCTAGGAGCCTCATCAGCAAGTAACCCAGTAAACCAAGGCTCCTCGGCTTTGCAAGGTTTGCCAGAGAAGTCCTCATCCATGGATTTTCCCTTGCCTTTTGCAAAGAGTTCCCCATGGCCATTATTAGCAAGCCATGTAACTAAGTTGTCAAATTGATTTAGTGGGTCAATAGAACTGTCTAACTCACTACATCAATCATTAAAAAGAGCGAGAAAAAGCTCAAGCCAAGCTTGGCTTTCCTTGAACTGCTAACTACATGTGATAACATCAAACCGTGAAACATTTTAGTAATGTTATATTATTTTTCTTATTTGCATACTTTTCATGGCATAATCTTACTAAGTCAAACAATTATTTCGCTTTTATTAAATAAAACCATCTTTGTTTTAGTATAATGTGAACACGAAAAATGATCCTTCTTTCTCAAAAAATCTTAATTTAGTTCCCAATGGGCTGTATTGGTAACCCGTGTACCGTTGGGCCAATGACCCTTTTGTTCCTATTGTTTTCACAAGAGCCCCCAAAGGGGAACTTGGTCCACTTACATGCAATGCTCACATTAAGACAACAAATTAATCTTGAAACATCATTTTAGAAGATTCATACTCTGTACATGGAAAAAAAGAACAGGTATGGGAAATGCATTAAAATATCTATACCACAAGCAAAACATTTTATAGATATAAAGGCCTAGAGGTTACAAATAGAACACCATTAGACCAATCAAACTTTAAGGTTATCAGATTACCTAAAGCCATGGCAACAGCATAAGGATCTTTTTTAGCTAGCTCATAGGTCATTTCCAATGCATGTCTAACAGCCACTGGATCAGCAAATGAAATTCTGCAGTCAATACAAAAGTTTGAAGTTAATTGTTTTGATAGTATTCTACAAACAATACTGAAATTGGTATTTTTCTGGAAAGTTATTTTTATCATCTTACCGATTTCATCTCTATCAATTACATAAATGGGCAGCCAATACATGATGAAACCCTAAAGAAATTTTCCTAACTGCATAGCATCCCTAATCGAGTCTTATTCTTTAACACTCCTGAAGATGGAGCAAATACATCAACCTATGTGTGACTAGTCACAAATATAGATAGTCTGCAATCCATGTAGAAGTTTTGTCAACGCATCTGAAAATTTATCTTCAGAGCAAATTCAAATCAGCTACATAGATGGGGGTTCATGGCAAGTACCAATTACCTTATTGCAAACGTATTGAAAATCGACCTTGATACATTTTGCTTGTGAATGAAAGATCTGATATGTTGGAGATAAGCATAGATACTGCAACACATCTATATTCAATCAAGTGAAAGTTCCCTCAATTCATGTGTCACGTGTTGAATCCAAGCCAACTTGCATGTGGTTGTGGTCATAGCTCAATATTCTGCCTTAGCACTAGATAGCAGCTATATTTTATTTCATGCTCTTGCATGACATAAGATTCCCATATAAGATGTAATATTCAGTAGTACATCATCTAGTATGACGACATCATCCACAATTTGCATCAGAGTAACAAGTAACCTTGGCATGTCCTTGTTCCGAATCAAGAACTTCTATGGAGCATCTTTGAGATATCTTCAAATATGTATCATAGTATCCGAGTAATTGGTGCGAGGGGGTGCAGACATAAATCGGCTCACCACGATACTGCGGATGCATTTGTTTGATTCAATGACCGTTAAATAATTTCGATCTGCATAATATGCCGATCTGCCCGAATCCTCCAATAACTCACATCCTTAACATGGAGCTTAACTTAGGAACAATTGATGACCTACTCCTGCAATAACGTATAGAACATACTTCTTTTGATATAGAAAGATGCCTTGTTGTAACACTACTTCAACGCCCAAAAAGTATGATCATTCCCAAGGTCCTTGGTTTGAAATTCCTGATGGTTAAAATATTTAAGAGTCGCAATTCTTATATATCATCTGCAATAACAGGTGTCTAAGTAGAAAACGGAATACTACAAAAAACTCTTCATTTTTCTGACAAAAGTATACCAAATGGTCATGGGAACTTCAAATCATATCAAATGCTTCTAAGGCTTGGATTATAAAACATATCTCGGATATTGCTTTAGGATATACAAAGATCATCTTAGGTGGCATTATTAGTGTCCAGTGGTGTGACGTTAGTTCTAGTAGACTTAGTTTTGTTAGTCTGCTATTTTCTTTCTGTTTAGCCTATAAATAAGTTGGGGAGTCGGGCTTTGGCCTGGACACCCTTACAAAAATAAGTTGGGGCTAATCATGTTGTAAACACTTCATTTTTCTCATCTAATAAAATTCTCTGGCTCACGCATCCAAATTCTCTAAAAGATTTCTAGTAATTTCTTAACAAATTGGTATCATAGCGTAATGATCAAAAAGACACGCTTCTGTTGGTTCTGTACTATTCTTGCTTCTACGATTGATCAAGATGACCTGTTGTTGAAATTGCTTCTCCCGATTGCAATCTTGGCAATCAATTGCGTCAATCTTTAAGTCAGATTCAAGGCAACGGGATTCAAGGTGGAGCGGCATCTGAAATTGACGATCGATTGGTTTTTGGAATTGAAATCGGTGATTGATTGGTTTCTGGAATTGAAATTGGCGATCGATTGGGAACCGGCACCTTGAAATTGGCGATCGATTGGGAAGCGTATCTGAAATTAGTGATCGATTGGAGTCTGGCAACTGAAATTAGTGATCGATTGGAGTCTGGAAACTGAAATTAGTGATCGATTGGTGATTGGCGACTGGGTGTTCGATTCTAGGTGGAGGGCGACTGGGATTTGTCATCCTTTGGTGATCGAAAGCACTTGCCTCGATTCAATCAAGATTTTAGTGATGCCACCACAAATGATCAAGATCGACAAGTTTAATGGGAAGAATAAATTTAACTTATGGCAAATTAAAATGAGAGCTCTCCTAAAACAGCAAGGAATTTGGACTCCTGCAAATATGGTCGACGTGAGTTTAATCAACAAGATGAGAAGGCTCATAGCACCATCTTGTTGTCCTTGGCCAATAAAGTGATTTACGAGGCCGCAGGTGAGGAGACTGCCGCATCTTTTTGGATGAAACCTGAAAGTCTCTACATGACAAAGTCTTTAACAAACAAGTTGTTGTTAAAGCAAAGGTTATTTTCGCTTCAAATGAAGGAGGGGATGCCATTGAAGGAACATCTTGATGAGTTATACTCCATTCTTATGGATTTAAAGAATGTTGAGGTCAAGGTTGAAGATGAGGATGTTGCCCTCATTTTATTGGTTTCATTGCTACCCTCATACAAAAATTTTGTCAACTCATCTGTAGTTGGAAGGGACACAATTACTTTGGAAAAAGTTCGATCAAGTTTGCATTCATGAGAATTGCGCCATAAAGCTTCAGGAAAATGGAACTGAAAGCCAATCTGTTGGCTTGTCAGTGGTAAATGAAGGCGAAGAAAGGGGTCGAGAGAAAGGTAAAAGGAAGTGGAAAGGAAGAAGTCGATCAAGATCGAAGGGTCGAGGATCGAAAGAATGCCCGAAAGATGTATGTCAAAGGTGTGGTGATCTTGGACATTGGAAAAAATGAATGTCCGAAACGAAATGAGAAGGCCTCCACTGCTGTTGGTAAAGATGATTCGGGTTCAGAGGCTGATCTGGTTCTTTCAGTAGTTGACTCTAAAAGTCAGCAAGATGAGTGGATTCTTGACTCCGGGTGTTCGTTTCACATGACACCGAATAAGGCCTGGTTTGATACTTATGAAAAGGTTGCAATAGGAAGTGTTTTAATGGGGAACGAAGTTCCGTGTAATGTTGCTTGAATAGGTTCAGTAAGTATCAAAATGCACGACGGGGTAGTGAGAACTTTGGCTGACGTTTGTCACATACCTGATTTGAAAAAGAATTTGGTTTCTTTGGGATCCTTAGATTCCAAAGGTTTCAAGTATAGCTGTGAAAAAGAAGTACTTCGGGTCTCTAAAGGTGCATTAGTGGTGATGAAAGAAGTCAAGAAAGGTACCTTGTATGTGCTTGAAGGCAACACGGCTGTTGGGTCATCATCACCAGCCTTTAGTTCTGATAAAAACGAGTCAGATTTGATACTTTTGTGGCACATGAGGTTGGGGCATGTTAGTGAGAAAAGGCATGCTCAGCAAGCAAGGACTTCTTGGAGGTCATAAAGTTGCTGAACTAGGCTTTTGTGAGCATTGAATCTTTGGAAAACAAAGAGGAGAGTTTTTCAAAGACTGTCCATAATACCAAGTCTACTTTGGACTATCTACATGCTGATTGTGGGGGTCCTTCACAGGTTCCTTCTCTTGGTGGTGGCCGTTATTCCCTCTCAATTGTTGACGATTACTCTAGGATGACTTGGGTGTTCATCATGAAACATAAGAGTGAGTCGTTCGAGAAGTTCAAAGAATGGAAGGTTCTCATTGAAAATCAATTTGGGAAGAAGATAAAGAGGTTGCGAACTGATAATAGTTTGAATTTTGTTCAAATGAGTTTGATTTGTTTTGTAAAGCTGAAGGAATTGCAAGGCACCGAACGGTTAGGCACACTCCACAGCAAAATGGAGTGGCCGAAAGGATGGATAGAACGTTGCTAGAAAGAGTTAGATGTGTGCTGTCAAATGCAGGGTTGTCTAGAGGGTTTTGGGTTGAGGCGTTAAACACAGTTTGTTACTTGGTGAATAGGTCTCCGGCAACAGCAATTGGTTGTAAAACCCCTACTGGAATGTGGTCCGGTAAGCCAGCTGATTACACGAATTTACGAGTGTTTGGTTGTCCTTCGTACTACCATGTGAGTGAAAGAAAGTTTGGAACCAAGGTCAAAGAAGGGGTTGTTTATGGGATATGGTGCTGGAGTAAAAGGGTATAGAATCTGGTCACTTGATGAAAGAAAGGTGATTCTCAGCCGTGATGTAATATTTGATGAAGGAAGTATGTTGCATGACGTATGGTATTTGTCTACTTCATCTACTTCAAAAGACCAAGAGGAGAGGATCTCCGAACAGGTGGAGCATGAGTTACATGGTTCTGATAAGGGTGAGAATGTTTCTGGACAGTGCAGTAACATGACTCAAACAGGACGTGTAGAGTCCGAAAGTCAGCACCAGCCTATGGAATTTCGGTCCATAGTGTTAGACAAGCCTCGAAGACAAGTTGGTAGGCCAATTCTGTATGGTTTCGATGACGTGGTGGCCTATGCGTTACAAGTTGCTGAAGAATTGGAGTTCTTTGAGCCGTCTACTTATAAGAAGAAACCACAACAAAGGAGGCTGACGTGTGGATAGCATCCATGAGTGAAGAAATGGAGTCCCTTCACAAAAACAGGACTTAGGAATTGGTGAAATTACCTCAAGGCAGAAAAGTTGTGGCCTGTAAGTGGATTTTTAAGCAGAAAGAAGGGCTGCCAGGAGCTGAAAATGTAAGATTTAAGGCTCGTTTGGTGGCTAGAGGTTATAGCCAAGAGAAAGGGTGTTGATTATGATAAAATTTTCTCACCGGTGGTGCATCATACATTCATTCGAGTGATGTTGGCACTAGTAGCACAACAAAATTTGGAGTTGGAACAGTTGGATGTTAAAACAGCGTTCTTGCATAGATATCTTGAAGAAGAAATTTATGAGTCAACCGGAGTGATTTGTGGTTCAAGAAAAGGAAGATTATGTTCGTAAGCTCAAGAAATCGCTTTACGACTTAAAGCAATCTCCGAGGCAGTGGTATAAGCGATTTGACAGCTTTATGGTGAAACATGGTTTTTAATTGAAGCCCTTATGATTGCTGCATATATCATAAGAAAGTAGCTGATGGTTCAGGTGTATTTGCTACTTTATGTGGATGATATGTTGGTGGCCGCTCGAGATGTGGCTGAAATTAAGAGGTTGAAACAACTCCTTAATTCTGAGTTTGATATGAAAGATTTGGGGGCTGCTCAAAAGATACTTGGGATGGAAATAGTTCGAGACAGATCTAGACATAAACTTTTCTTGTCACAGAAAAGTTACATTTTAAAGATACTTTCTCGGTTTGGTATGGCTTCGGCAAAGCCTTTGAGCACTCCATCATCTGCAAATTTCTCCAGTTGGTTGATTGGACATGATTGTAGGTGGTAGTAGTGTCTTTTTTTCCTAAATAAAATTTTCTGGAGGTTCCATCCTCCTACCAATAATATGAACCCAAAAGGTCCAACTAAATTGTTTTTCACAATTCAGGCATTTGCCCTTGCTGGTAAGTGTAATAGCAAAATGGATAGTTGTGATCAGAGCATGATGTCAAGGGCAATGATGATAATAAGGACCATGTTTGAATGACAAAGTTGTATCACTCTCTTATCATAGGTATCAAAAAATATTTCTAATACCATAAGTCAATAGTATATCTTGCATGTAGCTATTTGGAAATAAAATATCTCAAAACCAACAAGGACAAACCAACCCCTGCACAGCACGATGGAGAAAAAGAGGATTTCCTGGATCCAGCGGAAGTCTTCGCAAGGCACTTAGGGCAGCATATTGCAGATTACTCCCAATTATAGACTGACCATTCAAATCAAAATGAAGAAATAAGAAAACATTACATCATAACTTTAAAAGTAGGCGAAGACATTTATGAATATGTTCATGGATGCTATCAGTGGCTCTGAGGCTGTAAGGAAAAGCTAAATACATATTAAATTTTCCATCAAACAAGCAACTCAGGTTGAGGATGGTTGTATTATAGGATACTGCAGCTTACAAGAAGTTCCAAAGATACATGCACATGTGGAAAGTATGAACCTGGGCAAAAGAAGAGAGATAACAACTTTCTAATTCGTTTACCAACACATGTAAAAATAGATACTTAGTAACGATCTTGCCAGGTCCTCCTAGTATATGTTTTAACTTTTTAATCTAAATCAAAAAACCAACAATTAAAGGATGTCTACCACCCACGTAGTTTAAAATAGTACATTGAAAGCCAATGAAGGGATTGAGAACTCAAATACAACTTTGGCTAACAAACTTTATTGACACAATTTACAAATATGCTTTCACCTAAATTAACATATGATAGAAAAATAATTCTCGTTCATTAACGAACAGAAACGTAGTTAGGTCCTCCATCCAAAAGCACAAGTTGATACCTGGGCTAGTTATTATCATGGGCCTCGCCCTTGTAGGTCTTGTTTGTATAATCTACAATGAACAAGTCTCAGCTAAGATCCATTTAGATCTCCAAACAGGATACCTCTGTGTATCCATTATACATAACAACATTAGAGGTGTAATTACCTTCTTTCCATGTTCAATGATCCCCCCCCCCCCAATTCTTTCTTGGGTTAGTTAAAGAGATAAGACTTGAACCTATGACATCACACCAAAAGCGAGATGTTTTTACCACTAGACTATCACCTTGATCTATGCCACTTCATGTAATGGCCTAAAATAGACCATAAGGCTCCTCCTGCCAATGAAATTTAATGGGATCGAGTGAGACGATGTCTTCATCCATATGCTCCCAAGTATGTGGATCGATTGAAAGTTCGATTCTATTTATACTGCATCTAGTTGTAATATAAGTTTTCAAAATTGTTTCCTTTGTAATGTTTATTTAATTGTTTCTTCGGTAAGTTTGGAAAAACCAGTAATATGTAGCACACTCACAGGAATTCGTGGGTGTTACATTTAATAAAATGACAGGTCTTTTATATTCATATAATCAAAATCTCTCTTATCTAAATTTATGTTCATCTTGTATTATTCCACCTCCGATGTTACCATGCGCTTGGTAAAAATTTCCTCTTCTAACCGGTGCATCCAAAGGCCTATGCTAAAGATCATCAAACCATCAAGTAGAGCCGGTGCTTTTCCTCTATAGTTGCTGTCCAACTTATTTCCCCAAATATTCTCATTTATTATCTATTTGTTCTTATGTAGTTTTAAGTCCACCGTAAAATTCGCAATTCCACATCATTTATCTCACATTCAATTGATATACAAGCAAGCATTTGATGATGCAACAATCCCATCTTCCAAAGCAAAACTTCAATCGGATTTTCTGATCACATAAAACTTTGTTTGCTTGTCGGTTGTCGCCACCTCATCAGCACCGTTCTTATATTGAAATCTCCATCATCCTCTAAAATTGACCCCAAATACAAATGAAAACCATTACCTAGCCTTCGGTAAGGCAATAGTCCGTCTCTTAATTTCTTCAATATCCCAATTATAACTAAAGAAACTTATGTGCCAATGTCAGAATAATAATTATTAAGCACTCTCCATCATGCTACTCTTCCATCATTTCAACAACTTTTCTTCTGAACAAGGTGTCTACAAGAGTCAACTACTATAATATGCCCCTAGACCCCTAGTAATCCCTGAAATGATTGCATGATCAAAACCTAGTTTGTCGAACTAAACTATTGTTAGTAAGCCAGTTTTATACCTTCTAGAAAGAATCAGGGAGTGAATGTGCACACTTTCATCCATGGCAATAATGAGTCCACCACTTGGAATTTCTGCAGAAACAGTTAAAAGTAGAGCTATATATATAAGAAGGATCGAACGAGAAGGAGGCCAAGCGAGAAGAGCCAAATCACACGTGATTTACCATAGGTCTAGAAGAAAAGTGGGCAACTGGCCAACGCGACCAAGATCGCACTCGCTCGTGCAATGGCTAGTCAATACGGCCTTCTGGACGTGATATAAATCACATGTGATGTGGTCCTTCTTGCACTTCTCGTAAGTTGACTGCCTACTCATTGTAAACCCCCACCCCCCACTCTCTCTCTCTCTCTCTATTTATATATATATATATATATATATCAACGTTCTAAATGGCGTAAGGCGTGGGGTCGAGGTCAAGCCTCAGTCCTTAGAAGTCATAGCAAGGCCATGGCATTTTTCATGGCGACAAATTTGTATGTCATATGTATAATTATATATATACATATATACACGGATATGTTTTTTACTATTATTCAATTAGTCAATGATATTAAACAATTAAAATTGGGTTATATATACTAAAAACAAAAAAAGTAGGACATAAAAAGGCAACGAAAATCAAATATCATGTTATAAGAACTGCGCATTGGGCCATGGCGTTCCAGAGGCTTAACGTGGAGTGAGACACGAACCTTGAGCCATGGCGCCAGCCGTAACGAGCCTTTTAGAACACTAATATATAGTACACACTGGCATAGTGTTTTATGAAGCTACATGTATTTGAGCTGCAATTAAAGAAGTATGAACGACAATTAATGTTCAAGCAATACAAACAACATTCATTCATACTTACCTCCTTACTTGCCCCAAAGATGCCTTTCTTACGCTTATCAGGTGCATCGGCAACCTGATCAATAAATGAAAAAGGTAAGAGAAAATACATATGTCAACCATGATATCAATTTTCTTCGACACAACATACAAGATCCATTTCATGGCATGAGTAAGTGTTAACAGTATGGTTGTCACAAGGAAAATCAAGTTTAGATAGATGTGAAAGACAATACAGAAAAAAAATGAGAAAAAAGAAGAATGCATCCAATAAATACATTCAAAGTTTCCTAGAACATCAAGACATATAAATATGAGAAATACTATATCATGTAAATACTAACAAGAATTGTGTACTGAAAGATAGAGATTGGCATGGACAAACCTTTTCAAGAATATCGAAGACAATTTCGTACAACTTGGACAAGATTTCAGAACTAGTTGAAGGTGCATGTGTAAGAGCTTTGAGTGCTTGAAGTCTTCGTGAATGAACTTCAAAAAGAGATTGCATAATCGTCACTCATAGATAGATGAAACATCTACTTCTTTTTACCAATTACATGTCAAATCAAACAAATTTAAATAGAAAAAAAGGCCAGAAACTATTATCTTATGTTGATCCACTCAAATAACAAAATTTCCAAAATAACAGTGAAAATATGCTAGCACAAACAAAAGTCCCCATGGTACATTGTCCAGTTAAGAATGTCAAACCAGACCATGCTTTTTCCAATTACATTGTCAAATTCCAGTAAGATCATAAGAGCTAAAGCACTTGAATCTCTCAGTCTGCATCCTGGATTATCCAAAACTTCATGTCGGATTTTTCTAGGATAAATCTCTGCATTTCTTTCTACCAAATATCCGCCTCCATCACTATCGTTTGCCTCGGCGACAACAGTATTATACCACTACTGTCTTTGAAGATTTTCCAGTAGGTCATATTTTTGTGACTACTTGGTTCCAACCCCATACAGTTATCATATTCCAACAACGGTGACAAAGGGACTTGAGTTGTAAGTAGGCATACAGAAAGATGAGTTCACTTAAACGATACTTAAGCACCCAAACCTCTTTCTTCCGGTATGTAGGTTGCAAATTGGTGTTCACTGTTAAGCTTCAACATGAATTTGTTTTCATCCCAGAAAGCCCATCTAGTGGCCAATGAATATTTTGAACACTATGATTGACTATGAGAATATTGTTCTCCTGTTGGCCACATTTCAAACTTGTTTTGCCTGACTCTAATTCATCACTGATTTTCCATCTTGAACAGGAGGTTTATATGGATCAACCATCAGGTGTTCTAGTTGAGGAGGCTCAGAATGATTCTCTCTGAATATCCTTGTATGAACTCAAGGATAATTCTCCGGATAATTCAAATCGAAGCAATTGGATGTCCAATTCGGGCCTTAGTAACATGTTTATGGTAAGGTGTCCAAGCCCGATGGGCTTTAGAGTTAGGTTTCCCGTGTAATTATGTCTATATATAGTGTCTCTCCTCTTGTAAATTTGAATTTTACTGATGAATCATATAATAGAGAGTTCTCTCTGATTACATGGTATCAGAGCCTAGGGTTTATCGCCGTTACTGTTCATCGCCGGAGTACTGTTCACATCGGAGTTACTGTTCACGGCGGAACCCCCCCCCCGGGCATCGCCGGAACCCTAGTCCGCCGCCGTCACACCTCCACGCGCCGGCGCGTGAGCCCTTTTCCGGCCTCCGACGACCTTCGACTTTTAGGGTTCTGGTCGGAATCCCCATCTGGTTTTTTTTGGGCATCTTTTTGGTCTAATTTTGTTGTTATCTAGTCGTAACAGATCTGATCTCATATGTTTGGTCAAACTCTGTTAATTGCTATCTATTTAGTCTGGTTTCCTTTGATAATTTGTCCCTTGGGTGTTCGTTTCTGATTTGATTAATATGACGAACACTGATGATAAAGCCTCCGGTAGTACTCGTGTTCCTGACATAATTTCAGCCAGTAGTAAAGTTACTAAAAACAAGCTTTTTTTTTTTTGAACGGATACTAAAAACAAGCTTAATGGTAACAATTACTTCGAATGGATCAAAACGATTCGTTTGTACGTTCGAAGTATGGGAATGGCTTCCCATCAGGAATCTGACCCTCCCACTACGAGTAATCGTGACCTTTGGTTACAACAAGATGCCCGTATGTTCTTGCAAATTATAAATTCTATTGAGCCCTCCGTTTCAACTTTAATCCGTCACTGTGAATATGTGAAAGAGCTAATAGAATATCTTGACTTCCTGTACTCCAGACAAAGTAATATTTTAAGGATTTACAGCGTATGTAAGTCATTCCATCGTGGGGAACAACAGGACCGATCACTTACCGCCTATGCCATGGAATTCAAGAAGATATATGAGGAAATAAACTCTCTTCTCCCATTGAGTACTGATGTGAAAATTATGCAGACTCAAAGGGAACAGATTGCTGTCATAAGCTTCCTGACTGGCTTACGCCCAGAATATGATTCCATCAGATCTTAGTTCTTAAATGAATCCGTGATACCTTCTCTTCAAGAGACTCTTGCTCGGGTTCTTCGGCATGAAGATTTTCAGCCTACTCCACCATCTGATCATAATTCRGCTTTACTTAGCCGAGGTGGATACCGTGGCGGTTTTCGAGGTGGCTATCGTGGAAGGGGTAGCACTAGAGGAGGCCACAATGATCGACCAACTGATTTTAACTCAGACGTAGAGTGCCACTACTGTCATGAATTTGGTCATACTAAGTTTAATTGCAAGAAACGGCAATTTAGAAATCAGAGACTCTCCTTAGCACATGTTGCAACTACATCAGATGACACAGCTATGAGACACAAAGAGGAACCTCATCTGGTAAATGAGCACCCCGCTGCTTCCACTACTATGTTTGTTGAGACAGGTAACTCTGGCAAATGCTTTGTATCATCCTCCTCCAAATGGGTCATTGATTCAGGTGCCTCAGACCATATGACTGGTAATTCCCACCTTCTCCTAAATTTCAATAAACATGCATCCTCAGCTCAAGTCACAGTAGCTGATGGATCTGTCTCCCAAATAATTAGGTCTGGCACTGTTAAATTGTCCCCATGTGTCTCGTTATCCTCAGTCCTGAGCCTACCAAAATTTTCTTTTAACTTACTGTCTGTGAGCAAAATTACTCGCACTTTGAATTGTAGTGTCTCATTCTTTCCTGATCATTGTGTCTTTCAGGATATACAGACGAAGAAGATTATTGGTAGAGGACGGGAGTCGGATGGCCTATACATATTTGAACCACCCAAACCATATTCCTTGGCAARTTCCAGTTCATCATCTCCTTTTGAAGTTCATTGTCGACTAGGTCATCCTTCCTTACWGAGTCTCAAGAAGTTGTGTCCTGAATTTTCCCATTTRCRGTATTTACAATGTGAGTCATGTCAGTTTGCCAAACATCAACGTGTTCACTTAAGTCCTGGAGTCAATAAGCGGGCTACGTCCCCATTTCAATTAGTACATTCTGATGTCTGGGGCCCATGTCCTGTAACGTCTAAGTCTGATTTTAAGTATTTTGTTACGTTTGTAGATGATTATTCTCGAACTACTTGGTTATACTTCATGAAAAACCGTTCAGAAGTGTTTAATCATTTACGTTCCTTTCATTCTGAAATCCAAACTCAGTTTCAAACATCTATTAAAACCTTACAAAGTGACAATGCAAAAGAGTATGTATCCCAACAAATTCAATCTTATATGTTGCAAAATGGTATCCTTCATGAGTCCTCATGTGTTGATACTCCAGCACAAAATGGGGTAGTTGAACGAAAAAATCGTCACCTCCTTAAGGTTGCCCGAGCACTTCTGTTTCAGATGTCCGTCCCTAAGTCTTTTTGGGCCGATGCGGTATCAACAGCCTGTTTTCTTATCAATAGAATGCCGTCTGTTGTCCTGAATGGAGAAACTCCATTCTCTGTTTTGTTCCCAGGACAACGATTATTCCCTATTGAGCCAAAGATCTTCGGTGTTACATGCTTTGTTCGTGACTCACGCCCCACTATCACCAAGCTTGATCCCAAATCTCTGAAATGCGTGTTCCTTGGGTCTCGTCTCCAAAAGAGTTGCAGGTGCTTCTCTCCCAATCTTAACCGCTATATTGTATCTCGGGATGTTACCTTCCATGAGAACATGTCGTTCTTCCCAATTTCCCTCCGACTCCTTTAAATGAGAAAGATGATGACTTGTTGGTGTATACCATACCCACTCCTGAGTCCACTACTCAAGCCACCAGACCACCCATTGTTCATGTATATAATAGGCGCAAACGACCTCCTCCGTCTTCACCAATATCATCTGAGTCTGCAGATCCACCATCCCCAGAAGATGTACCTCCTGAAGCTTCTATACCCACTCCAGTAAATGAGGATCCTGATCTTGACGCTCCTATTGCTCTCCGGAAAGGTAAACGTTCTTGCACGTATCCTATTGCTTCTTTTGTTTCTTATGATAAACTCTCCAGGTCATCTCGTTCTTTGGTCTCTACCCTTGATTCTATACCTATTCCATCTACGATTGGAGAAGCTTTGACTCATCCTGGATGGCGGGATGCTATGATTGATGAGCTCAATGCTCTTGATCATAACACCACATGGGATTTGGTAGAGTTACCTGCTGGCAAAAGAGCAATTGGCTGTAAGTGGGTGTTTACTGTGAAAGTTAATCCTAATGGCTCGATAGCACGATTAAAAGCTCGTTTGGTTGCAAAGGGGTATGCCCAAACTTATGGAGTGGATTATTCTGAGACTTTTTCTCCTGTTGCAAAGATGGCGTCTATTCGGCTTTTCATCTCTCTAGCTGCTACCTATAATTGGCCTCTTCACCAATTAGATGTGAAAAACGCCTTCTTACATGGCGATCTGCTAGAGAAAGTCTACATGGAGCAACCCCCCGGGTTTGTTGCTCAAGGGGAGTTTGGGAAGGTCTGTAAATTACGGAAGTCGTTATACGGCCTAAAGCAATCACCTCGTGCATGGTTCGGTCGGTTCAGTTCTGTAGTAACTACATTTGGGTGACGAAGAAGCTCATATGACCACTCAGTGTTCTTTACTTCATTTGATTTTGGATGTATCCTGCTAGTGGTTTATGTCGATGATATTGTGATTACAGGCAGTGATGAGAATGGAATTAAAAAGTTGAAAGAATTCCTCGCATCTCAATTTCAAACTAAGGACCTTGGTCCACTGAAATATTTCTTGGGTATTGAGGTATCTCGGAATCACAAAGGAATTTGCCTATCTCAACGAAAATACTGCCTTGACATACTACATGATTCTGGCATGATCGACACGAAACCATGTGAAGCTCCTATGGTTCTGAATGTAAAGCTGAAGTCTGATGATGGGGATCCTCTTGAGAACCCAGAGAAGTACAGGAGAATTGTGGGACGGCTGAATTATCTGACAATCACGCGTCCCGATATTGCCTTTCCGGTAAGTGTATTGAGTCAATTTATGTTGTCTCCAAGAACTACACATTGGGATGCAGTCTGCCATATTTTGAAATA